GGCTGCTTTGGGGTTTAGGGTTTTGAATTTGGGGTTTAGGGTTTGGGGACTAGGGGGTAGGGATTAGGGATTAGGGTTTTAGGGTTTAGGGCTTGAAGGCGGTAGGGATGAATATGGCTTTGGGTATATTGAAAAAAAAAACTCCCATAGACCCCATATTCTAGCTACTTAAGGGGGACTCTAAACCCTAAACCCTAAATAGTCGTTTCCATGTTCTTTTCCATTATCCCAACATCACCCCAATAGAACCCTCCATTTGTAGCCCTGAAACCCCCCTAAACCCTAAGGCCCTCAACCCTAAACCCTCAGCCCTGGGACTTGACCGGCACCTTAGACCTTAGCCCTTTGGGATTCCCTTATAGTCCCTTTATAGGTATTTAAGGGTTAACCTTTCCTAGGGGTCCTAAGTGCCATGTAGAAAAATGTCATCCGGAAAAAAGCTTTAGATTAGGGCTTTAGGCCCTAAAGCCCCAAACCTTAGTAGCTTTTGGCTCTTGCTTTGGGATGCTATCTCCTGCGGCTTTGCCACTTGCAAGGCACATTCGTAAGTCATGTTGGTGTTTAGGGTTGAGGGTTTAGGGGTTTAGGGATTAGGGTTTAGGGATTTAGGGTTTAGGGTTTAAGACCAAGCAGGTTTATATTCTTATATTCTTCTCAGAAAGCACCATAACCCCAAAACAGGATGTAGGTTGTCTCTACGTTGGAAACTCTAACATCACCACCGAACCTAATCCTCACGCGGGATTTGAGCAATGTGGGGGAGATCCTTCAGGATCACTGTCATTAGAGACTATGATAATCAGGATGCAGGGCAACCCTAAACCCTAAACCCAATACACTACTACCTTTAACCCTACAAGCCTTTTTCACCTAGAGTTGGTAATTTCCCAAATAGGGGGACCCCAATATAGACCCCAAAATACTTTAATCCTCATTACAGGGACCACCAATGGTACCCCTAATTTTGGAAAACCCCCACCTAAACTCTAGACTTTAGCGGGTTATACTTGGAAAAGTGCAGGAGCTAAGACTTCTAAGCTCTGGGCATTTGGGGTTGCAGGCGGGCGTGCCTGGACACTACCAACTCGAAACCTGCCGTGTCAAGTTGGGTCAGCTCGGATCTTTGCTAACAGGCTGACTATAACCCCATCTGGGTTGCTGTTAAGGACCTTAATCTAAGTTAGTGTATTGGGGAAACCCTGTTATCTACTATATAAGACCATTATGGCAACTTAAGTTAAGTTCCCTTAGCAGCAACCCAGCAATTGTAGCTGTAGTCATTACCCAGCTAAAGGGGACCGAGGAAACCTCGATTAGGTCATAACCACAATTTTAATCTGAGAGCTTCTCACACTGATCCCTATAATCTCAAACCCTAAACCCTAA